AGACATAGCCAACTGTAGTTTTGCTATGTCTAAACACTGGCTTTGTACCTATAATATAAATTATTTATGTAAAATTTATTAATAAAATTAATGTTAAGAATATGTACTGTACATGGTCCAAGTAATGTATAACAGTAAATAAACTAACCAAAAATCTTTTATTTCTTACTACAAGCTTTCATATGCATTTCTTGGTAGTTTATTCACCTTTATATGATGTGCAATCAGAAAAACATACATACAAGAAAGACATTGGATGTATACAAAGTGTTTAGCCGGCAGGAAAGGGGGGGAAGAAGGAGGGAGAAGAGATAGACAGCAGAGAAAAGTAGGATCCTCTGAACAGCATACATATATAAGGCTACAATAACCTCTGATGTTTGTGCAGTTTTTAGGCTGGAAGGCTGTAGTCCACCAAAGGGTCTGAGAGAAAACCTGAGTGTAGCAAACACAATAATTGAGTGCCGTCACAAATAGCTAAGTATAGAAGTTAGTGTCAAGTGGCTGTTAGTAGGAAGACTTATATCTATTTAATGCAATCGCAAATATTAATACTACTAAACAGCTTGACAGACAGTGCAAAAAGAAAATGAACACAATGACAAATGGACCGACAAAGGCAAACGAGCAAGACCCCCAAAAATTTTTATTTATCATTATTATTATTTTTTTTTTGTATTTATTTTATTTTTTAAACATTAACTTACTAACTAAACTAACTTACCATAACCCAGGACAAACCTAACCAGACAACTAAAGCTAACAAACCTAACCTATCATAATCTAACTGGAAACCAAGCTAAAAGTCCCTAATCTAACTTACAACTAGGACTAACTGAATTTAGACTGGAAAAAAAGAAGACAAAAAATAAGAATTAAAATACAAAGTTGAAAGGCAGCTATATTCAGATGGTTAAAACAAAGTAAGGGAAAGCTAATTGACATCTGTCCCCCTGGAGTCAGTGCTCTCAAGAGCCCCACTAAGGGATATGAATGCAAGTAGATGATGGAACATTGTATGCATGTGAGTTGGTGTGGGTTGCAAGGCCAGTTGTACTCTTCAAGAATAGCAGCTCTCATTAAACTATCCCTAATGTGACTATACCTATTTCAGCAAAAAATAAGTGAAGTGTTGTTTGATCCTCCTGAATACCACAATCGCATTGTGGATTGTCCCCAAAGTTAAATCTATGCAAGTATTAATTAAAGTTACTGCAAAGAAGTATAACCGAAAAACTCAAAAATGGGGTGGCCTAGAAAGACGAAACTAACGGGGAACAAAGCACCCACTAAGGCAGGGGTGGCCAAAACGTGGTGCATGCGCCAAACGTGGCGCATTGGACGATTACAAGTGGCGCTTCAGTTAGTTCTGAGCAAAATTGCCAGATTTGGCTTTTTTGCGATTAAAAATATATAAAAAAATAAATTTTTTATAGTCTGTCATGGCAAGTTCATTTGTTGCACAATTCGTTACGGTCTATTTTGCAGATAAAATGAGTATTCTCCACATAGTAAATTACAATGTATGCATGTATTTTGAGTCTTGCGATCTTTATTTCCGATCAGTTTACAGGCATGTAAATGGGTGAGAACATTTATTGTGATTAAAGTTATTCCAAGCTGATCTCGTTCTTAGTGCCAATAATTGTGGTGCAGAGTAATCTTCACCAAACGAGACTCTGGCAGCAATAGCATTATCATGAAGCAATCACCCTCTCGTACAGGAGATCGTTGTTGACTATTGTAAATTGGTGCTTCAATAGACTGGTATAAATTAATTAATTCAACTGCGTAATTAAGTTATTCCCTTTTCTTTCCTAAGCGAAGCAGATTTATTCTTATCTCTATTTATCATCCCCTAATATTGAATGTAAGACTGTATAAAAAGTGTTCGAGTTATATGGCGCATTTGAACTCGTCTGTCAAAAAATTGGCGCATGGTATGCAAAAGGTTGGCCACCCCTGCACTAAGGGAACGAATTACAAAGGGAAAACTAATTACAAAAAACAGAAACCACAAAAAAGTGAAAATATCTGACTTTGAACTGACATCGAAAAAGCTACGAAAATGGTTAGGCAGTTGAAACTGGCCTAATATAGTAAGGTCTAACTTTGAACTTAAACTGAAAAGGCTGAAGAACAACTTAGAAAAACCTGAATAACCAAAAATACTGCAATGCAGTAAAACCAGAAAAATCCAAAAAACTCAAACTAGTTGACTGAGAAAAACCAAAATTATAGAGGAAGCTAAACATCTGAAGACCTAACTACAAAAAGAGAACTATCAACTTAGACCTAAACTAAGACAAGACTAACTAACTGAAAAACACCCTAAAAACTGAAAATTTATAAAAGCCAGCCAAAAACAAGAAGGTGATCGAGTGGAAGTTGAAAAGGAGTAAATTTAAATTGATTAAATCAAAGAAACTAACTGTTTCTGCCTGGCAAAGCCAGAACAGAAACTGAACTAGCTAAGCCTAACAAATGAAAAACATGTGAAAATGGAAAATCTAGTCTATTGAGAACTAAAAACTGACTAAAAATCTAAGCAGTAACACAAATATTAACTAAAATGACAAAAAACATTCAATGGAGCCCAAGAAACACAAAAGTAGACCTCAGCAAAAATCTCACCAACACAGGCAAGAAGCAGGCAGAGGAATCCCCATACAATCAGAAATAAACTGGATTTACTCTATGAAGATTAAAATCTTTATAGAGTAAATCCAGTTAATACTTAACTAATTTAAATATGGCCACTAACCACTTAAAAGTACTCCTAGTTTATACAGTGATCCAACTGGTTTTGCTAAGCCTCAAATGCTTCTTGGAAGTCATTGTTTTGAAAATTCTGAAGTATTGATTTCATGTTTTGGAGGATCTATCTAGAAGTGTCATAATGAAAGAGCTAGGTTTGGTTGCAGTACAGTCCTGGTCTTTTTGAAAATCTTTCACAATCAATTGAAGATGTCACTGTCTGACCAGGAGAGAGATTATTTTTTCAATCATCAGGAATCATTGCTGTTTGTCATTCTCTTGTCTTGTCTTGCCTTCTTGGGTCTTGGAGATTGTGGTCTTGCCCATGACTTAATTGCCAAAGACATTCCAATGGTGTTTGTCATAGATTTTCAAAGTTTAATGCAAAATTTAACTTTACTTAGTTTTCAAGTTCATTCTCAAATTGTGGTACAACACTGACACATTACAAAATTACATTAGCAGGCATTCCAATTTGAAAAACTCAATCCCATTTGGCTGACTGATGCTCAAATATCTAAGAGTTTGTCCACACATTCACTATTTGCTGAATGCTGAGCAAACACGCACCAAAAAGTGATTAATGTGAAGTGATTCCATCCATCATCATCTTTTAGGCTTTGTTATTTTTTTTATTAACAGATTTGAACCACTAATAACTATAAAAGCAGTGGCACAAATTATTATTTGAGAATTGCCAATTTTCTAATCTCAAATGAACATTTGTTGTTCCCACAATAAACTGATACTCTGCAAATATTCAAATATGTGTACTGTACATGTGTGCTTGCCAAGTGACAAACAGTTTAGTAAATAGTTTGGTGAAAGATAAATATTTGGCATTCAGCAAATAAAGTATGGATGTAATTCTCTCTTCTTTAAAGTACTGAGATAAGATTTAATCAATGATATAGTTAATTTTTTATTGATTAATTATGAAAATATTCATTTGTTTAAAAAGATCAAAGCATAGGTAATATTTTACAATTGGAAATATTTGCCATGAAGTTAAATACTAAAAAAATTTAAGAAAGAAAATAAAAGTATAAGGGAATAAAACTTTCAAACAATTTGATAATTTTGTTCAAATATGTTTATCAGTTGAAACATGCATCTATTGTATATTCAAATGCATTTTAAATACAAATATTTTTATAAATACAGTAAAACTTGTCCAAAATGAAATCTGAGTAAAATGGGCTGTATTTTTATCATTGTCTCTCGAATATGAAAGAGCACAGCTATGTCACAAAGCTGGTTGCCAATTGGCTAAACATTTGTTTACATCTTGAGATCATCACTTCATAATTGCAATTCTGGATGACTTCTCTCAGATTCTCTTGTCTTCCAGAGATGAACAGATAGTTGTCTTTCAACCAATTTTTCATCTATAACCTCTATTTTGCTACATAAGACAACCAATGTTCCCTCTAAGCTGCGCGGCTGCACACTGCTCAAATTGTTGCTGCGCACGAGAATTTGTGCTGCACAGGCAAGCATACACACAGGTTTGAATTATTGTTTACTTACTTCTCAATNCTAAATAGGGGCCAGTTTCCCTTAAAAACACCTCCCAGAAGGCATTCCCCCTAGGCAGATGGGCGATCTGCCTAGGGGGATCTGTTTGTTAAATTATTGCGTTGCCATAACTTAACAAACAAACAAACTCTTTCCGTAAGGAACAAGAAACTGATCTAAAGCTAATTGTCTTACTCTTTAAGTCAAAATTTTTCTCAAATGCGATAGCGCGTTCTCGTTTTCTATTGCCACTATGACTTTTTTTTTTCTTGGATGTCATATTGATTAAATATATAAATCACAAAACTGAAAAAAAGAAGTATAGCACAAACACTCCGAAAAGCAATGCTTAACTCGCGCATGCCTAACACCAACTAAAATTTGACACAAAATACCGTTACGTTCGTTATCCGAATTTTGTTCGTTATCCGAGACAAAATTTTTTCAAAATAAAAGTTCGTTAACCGATTTGGTCGTTAACCAGGACGTTCGTTAACCGGGGTTCCACTGTAAATGTTAATTTAGATTTACACAAACTCACTTTTATAAAAAGTCAATTACTGTATAAATTGAAGATTTGGTGTATTATTTTCTTTCTTAAAATAATAAATTTTTTTGTTTAATTTTGCTTTAGTTAAAATTTAATGTGATTTAAAATAAAAATAATTTTGAGAGAATACTGTTATTTGAAAAATTAATTTTTATTTGATATGAAAATTTTTCAGCTCTTGAGTTAAATCCTAATTACATGAAAGCTTTGTTAAGAAGAGCTCAACTGTACAGAAATACTGAAAAGTTAGATGAAGCATTGAATGATTATCAAAGGGTTCTCCAGCTTGATCCAAATGTATTAGAAGCTCGTCAAGCATGCATGGTATGAAAAAATTTATAATTTAAATTATTACTAATAAATTTCTAAATGATTAAATCATTTTCTAGGATCTTCCAGAAGAAATTAAAGAACGAAATGAAAAATTAAAAACAGAAATGTTAGGTTTGTATTCTTTTAACATTTAATAAATTACTTATTTTACATTAATGAAAATATGTTTTATCATTGTGTACAGAGATTTTATGCAAAACTTTAATTATATTATTTTAGAATATTTAATCAGATATTTTTAGAATTAATTAAAAATTAAACCTGTTAGTGAAGTTTAAACGGTACAATACGTACTTGATTGGCGGCCACCTCTGTGCGCCAATACCATTAACAAAGTAAGATAGTTCAATTAGTTCATATAGATTGGTCTGGTTCGTCGAGAAGTCACCTTGCAACAATTTGGTGTAATGAAGACTAGTAGCGATCTTTTGTTGGTTTCTGGGTGACTTAACATCACTGGCGAACTTGGACAAGCTGGTTGGCTTACTTGAAGATCTCTGACAAACTTCCAAATCGAAGATGTCCAAACCAAACTTGAACTTCCTGCTTCCACATCGACCTTATATAGTCGTGGACAGCAGGCCAGCCAACCAATCAGTGACTACACTGGTTGTAGTTTTATGTAAATATGTAGTGTGGTGTGATTCTCTGCTGACCACTCAGCGGTTACGCCAATTGCTGCTCTGTTGGAGGTCCGTGGCATAACGCAATCCCTTGCTAACCATCTCTGACCGGAGACACATGTGCCGCTAATTCAAACACAATGGTCACCTCCTCAACAGTCTTTCTTGGCTGTTACCAGTTTTAAAAAAAAGGTGGGAATTGTGTTCTTACACAATTTACCCGAGACTGTTAATAATAGAAAATTAATCTGTGTTTATTTAAGAAGAGATAAATATACAGTAGAACCTTGATTATCCGGACTAATTGGGGATGAAGGTAGTCCAGATAAGGAAAAATTCGGATAATCGAAACAAATACTTTAATTTGTCTTTTAATAATAATACAACACGTTTTCTTTTCGATGACATATCAGTAATATTAAAAATAAATACTATATTTAAATCGTGATAAAATTTTCAAGAAACAAATGTTTGTATTAAATTTGGACTACTACTGACCAGTGCTAACAGACTACCTATTGTTTAAAAGGCCCTCTGGTGGCGCAAGAAGACGGATTTTATAAAATAAAAAGCAGTTGAAACTGCATTTTTATGAATAAAAATTTGACAAACTATT